CCCTGTCCTGTGTAGTCAGAATCTGTCCACTATCATTTTTATGACAAAACTCCTTCCTAGGCATTCACAGTTGTATTATAACACTTCCAGAACTCTTTTGTATGTATGTTAGTAAACCTGTGTGTAAGTTTCTTTGCACCAGTCTTTACTGTTGGTCTCAAAATCCCAAACAGAGTAAGAGCTGTTTCTTCCTGGGCCAATTTCAAGGATTTAAAAAATGTTTTAATTACTTCTAGATGGCTTAAAAGATTAACAAAACTTTAAAAACTTAACATTTGTTTTTGATCTTCTCCTTGCCTTTATTCTTCAGCCAATTCCACATCTTAATAATAAATTCCTTGAAATCCCTGGCTGCAAAGAACAAATAGATCTGAGTAATTTCCAACCGTCATAGTGAACACAGTTTAGTACTACACAGGAGGAACTAGTTTTAATGAGTTGATTTTTTTAGGTCATTCAAAAGGTAAATTTCACTCACATTCAAAAGGTAATTTTAGGATTTTGTAGTTGTTTTGTGTAAGTCAGGTTGGCTTTGAACTTGTCATAATGGAGGATGACTAAACTCTGATCCTCCTGCCCTCACCTCTTAATTGCCGGGATTAAAGGCATACTCCATCAAGCCTGGCTTCCAATCTTATCTAAGACAAAATACAAGTTGCAATCACAAAGCACAAGTTTGAGCATAATGATGTTATCTAAAAAATGAAGAAAATTGTTAATAGACTATGCGTCATTCACAGAAGTTGAAGGACAGTCTGGGAAACGTAAGGTCCCGCTGAGAAAAAGAAGAGAATAATCATTAAGAACAAAAAGTTTCTACCTCACCTGTCTTTATGGTGAAAGTTATGGCTGGTAGTCAGCATTTTATATCACTTAAAATACTCACTTCCTGGGATACCTGTTTGAAAATAGGCAATGGAACCAGCAAAATGGCTTAGTGAGTACTTGCTGCCATGCCAGGCTTGACTCACCTGATAGAATGAGAACTGACTCCTACCCAAGGTATCCTTTGACCTCCAGGTGCACACGGTGGCACGTGCCCAAGCATATTTGCATACACGCGTATACACACACCAAACCAGTCATAACTACACTGTAAATAAGAGGTTAGCTTTTCTTTGGAAAGGAACCAAAGGCAGAACTCTAAAGAATCTGAAGGTGCTAGATTAGGAGTTAGAGATACAAAGCCAGGCATACACACACACACACACACACACACACACACACACACACACAGAGGCAGAGCTGGACACTGTGGCCTGCTTAGAATACTGACACCAGGGAAACTGAGGCAGGAGAGCTGGGAATTTCAGGTCAGCCTCAATGACATGATTAGACAGACCCTGTTTAAACTGTACTCAACCAAATTGAACCAAGTCAAACCAGACCTAAAGCAGACATCATTTCAGAGGTGCATGCTAGGACACATCCCTAGCTTTCCTAGACTGAATCACCGACCTCAAGAAGCAGCATGTCCCAAGGGCATGAGAACATTCAGCATACACATCCTAGACTGTACAAAACTGTACTCCCATGAGAGGTAGACAATGCTTTGGGACAACCACTGATTCCAGAGCTGGCACAATTTACAAGATGAGCCTAAAGGACTTGGTAGTGGTAGCAGCAGCTGGGATTGAGATAGTGACCACAAAAGGCAAATAGACTGGTCTTGACCTGTTGTTCATTAAAAACATGGTGTGTTTTCTTCTGTCCTCATTCTTGGACTTACAAACAGGGTAGGCCAGATTGTCTAAAGACTAGAAGCCCCTTGACTAGATGGGCTGGGCAAGACAGGTGTTTTTGTAATGGTCATAAACTGACTTTACAAAGATACCAAATCCCTCAAGATTAAGGGGTAAACAAAGACAAATAGGGAGAGACTATAATAGAAGAAAAACATCATCCCACAAACTGGCCCCAGATATACCCTCATAACCAACTCATGTCAGATCTGTTAGAGCAACTCACTGCCCTTGACATTGGATGTCAGTTTAGTAAGACACTGGTTTCCCAACAGCTTTGCTGTAAATCACACCTGACATTTGAATTACGGCAATAGTTGCCTAGGTTACTTTGCAAAAACTTAAAGGCCACTTGCATTACAAACACTGAATTTACTCAAAACCTGAAAATGCTGATGGGTGACTCAAATGAGACAAAAGGCCTGGTATCTGCACTCATGTGGCATCTGGCCTCCTCAAGTCTTAGCTGGTTCAGATCCTGCTTAGCTCTACATGCTGATCCCAAACTCCTACTCAAGGTTAACTTGGTCTGTTGCTGATAAGGGGTTGGAATGCTTTTACCCCACCCTAGTGCATTCTCAGAAGTTCAAGTACCTAAAGTCCCTCAGTCTGATCACAAGACCCAAAGCAAACCAAGACTAAGATGTTTGTGCACTACGATGATACATCTGCAAGGGTAAGTCAGCAGATCCTAGGTTAAGTCAGCCACATGTTAGCCTGCAAACTCAAGGCCAAAATACTTACAAAGGAAAGAAAACATCCTTTCAAGTAGCCCATGGATAATGAAAATTTATCAAACCTTAAGTCTCCCCATCCCTTATCCCTAATGAAAGCTTGAACAAAAGGAGTGGCCCAATCATCTCTTTGATCAGCACTTGTTGCTTTCTACCAAAAAAAAAAAAAAAAAAAAAAAAAAAAAAAAAAAAAAAAGAGAGCCCCCAGTGAAGAAGTCCCGCCTGTCTCATTCATAGTATATGGCTTGGTTTTATTTCTACTGTCTCCATATCATGAAATCCCACTGTCTGGGATTGGGGGGGGGGGGAGGGTGCTGAACCCAACCCAAGTATTCCATCATTGAACACAATCCCAGCCTTGAGCATCTTGTAGTGGCTCATTTTAGCAAAAGCTGGAACAATTTAAGCAACAAAATACCATTTTTTAGTAACAAAAAATACACTGACAGCATATACAGAAACATGATTGAGTAAATGAGAAGGATCAAATCTCCTTTACATTAGAATTCCAAGTAACACAGGCAGATGGCCCTTTCTAGAAAGTACAGTTTAATTCTCCCCTGAGCATTGTTTGGACCTCATGACTTGCTTCCAGAGAATATAATGTAGAATGGTTAATGTTCACATCATCACCTTATAGTCACCCAAAGAACAAGAAAGTTAACACACACCTCTCTAGACAACTATAGCCCTGCACTGGTATAATAGCAAAAAAAACTGAATTCAGGAACGTGCTATAAACTATTTTAAAGCACTACTTTAGAAAAAGATGAAAGCTAGAAACTAATTAAGAAAACAAAAGGACTAAATGCAAGTCATTTTGGAATGTGTCCAGATACAAGAACATAAGTGGAACACTGGTAAACTCTGAAGTGTCCATAGTGCAGTTAATGGAAATGTTCACTACAGAGTATATTATCTACTACATACTAAAATATTCCAGTTGTTAAGATCATAGACAAGTCAGAGGTCTGTATTTTATAATTAAGTTTCTACAATTTCTTTACAAGATTACATTCACATAAGCCACAGATCTTTTAACATTAGCTACCAGAAAGATAAACAGAAATTGTTGCCTATTGGCCAAGAAAGTAGACTTAACTGAGCTCATCTCTGTAATCCCAGCACTGGAAAAAGAAAACAGACACATAATAAACTAACTCAGACATCCTGTATTAGTAGAACTCTCTTCACTGAAGATTACAGCAAGATTTTGTGATTCATAAATATGAGACTGAATGATATTTCCACTTATAGTTTTGGTATTATGTCATGTCCTGGGTACCTCTTAGTCCACACCGCAGCATACAAAATAAGTATACCCCAACTGCACTAACAAAACCACTTGTCATCAAATCATTACAAGGGACTCATGAGGAAAACCAACTCAATTCACATAACAATATAAAGCTGTAATTTAATGAGAAAATCTTATTTAACGGGCCTTTTATGATAAACATAAAAGAAAGTAACATGATACTCAGGAACCAATGATTCCTCTAAACTCCCAAAGTCCAAACTTCGATGAAACATGGCATTGTGAGGAACAGGATCTCAACACATACATCTTGTTATTCAAATCCTCAAAAACAAGATACCCTTTTCCTCTCAAGCTTGGTAAGATTTTTCTTTTAAATATCTGTGGTGATGATGTGGACAACCATAGTTAACACACAGATGGGAAAAAAGACACATGGTTAAAAAAAAAAAAAAAAAGACTCCTATCAAAGGATGTACACTTGTTATGAATAAGGCACAGATAGTAATGTTCCAAAAGGGAAAAGCTATGACACTGAATTCTAATTTATACTGAGGTTAGAATTATGACCAACTTTCTTCTTCAATTAAAATCTTGTAGTAGATAACTTAAGACACAGGGAAAGGAACTTACATTTTATTACTTGAAATAGAAATATAGAAAACTAAGCCCCCTGAAGGCTGGTGACAGTGGGTGGCTTGGGAAGTTTGGAGGACCACTAGCAGTGGGACCAGGAGCTATCTCTTATGAATAAACTGGCTTTTTGGAGCCCATTTCCTATGGAGAGATCCACGACATGGTGAGTGAGGGGCTGCTGTCCCCCGATGGGGAGGAGCAGATGGGGGGGGGGTGGGGTTGAGGGGAAGGTGGAGGTGGTGGGAAGAGGGGAGGGAGGGGGAACTTGAATTAGTATGTAGAAAATAAAATAATAAAGAAAACACATTCATGGCATGCATATCACTGCACATGATTCTACTAATAGGAAATTAAAGACAAGAACAAGCTTAACAGGCGATCCTTCTGTGCTTTTTACTAGTCTTCCTAGTCTCCAGTCCCTATAGTACTTACTAGGAAAAAGTTACAACAAACTTTAATCAAGTCATCTTATTTATACAGCAGGCCATTAATAAATAGTGTGTGGGTAAGTTCTAACTGGCTGTAAGTTACCAAGTAGGCATTTTTCTAAAATGGAATCCAGGAATCCACTGTAATGTATTTTCGGGTAACACTCATCAAGAATTAAGAGTTAATAAGAGCACACTTAAGTTTGGTGCAAACTTAATTTTATTAAACCTTACAATGCTATGGCATATCGCTTTTTTCATTGTGTGGCAATTTATTGGCTGGCATCTGGATACAGTACTTCTTTTAAAATAAAGATACACAACAAAAGGGAGAGAAGCTAGTTGTTTAGTGATACACAAGGGAAAAGAGAAGAAAGAAGATGACCAGCACTTCAAGTTTCCTTAGTTCCTAACTTTAAAGTGGTTCAGGTTCCAAGCAATGGTGCTGCCAACAAGGGTGTAAGAACACTAACTCCTCAACCAGCCCCTGCTGGGAACTACTTACAGGGATAAACACCTGCACATTCAGCTGAGGAGTTTTGCTGGACAATTTGATTTTAAGAAGCTAAATTTCAAAATACAACCTGAACAATTTCTCAACTTATAGTAAATGGGGCTTTTTGAAATATTACAAATTCTTTGTAAATGAGCAATCACCTAACTTCAAAATCATAAAGGGTACCAAATTATCTTGCTGATTGGGGCTTATGCTTGTCAGACTTAAGGATAAGAAAACAATGACATTTTTAAAACTGCAGTTCATTTGCCTTTAGGAAGGAGACTGGTATCTGAACAAAATAACCATTTCTCTTACAAAAAAATGATCAAAATTGTAGAACATCTGAAATTCAGAGGCATTTTTGGAGAAACATTGTTGAGATTTAAACATTAATACCAGTCAATACTATCATGCTACAATGTCCAGTTTAGTTTGATTCAAATGAATACAATTAGATCATTTCTTCACCATGGACAAAAACAAACCCACAAACTTGAGAATTTTATATTATTTGGTCTCACGATTTTCGGAGGAAGACCCTAACAGTTATGAGGTTGCACTCCTGAACCAACTTACTCTAAAATAAAATCATGGCTAATTTTCAGCTACTTAACAGCCTTTTCAAGAGCTACCAGTGGCATTTCTGGAGTGGGCAAACAGAAAAGGGAGAGCCACATCCTGACTACAATATAGCACTGGGTTTTCAAGACTAAGACCAGTTCTAAGTTATCTGTTCTTGAAGGAAGCCACTATGTGAAGACATCCTTATTTCATATGGGGTTATGAAATTCAAGTCCACCTGTACAACAGTGAGCCTTAGAATGAGACTTTTGCTAAGAACATGTAAGTCAGATTCTTTGGGCCAAGCAGGGAGGCAGATATTAAATCCCTTTAAGTCAAATTGTCATCTTTTACCCCAAAGTGAGATCAACCAATGATAATTCACCAAAATGGCCAAGTTTTCTTTTAAAAAAATAGTAGTTCACATATAATTTTTATACCATAAAATTAGAGGCAGATGACTTCTAAAGTTTGATATTTCTAGAATACCTGTCTAAATGGCATATTATTCTTATATATAGCAGCTCAAATATCATATCAGACTTGCCCAAAACAAATAAAACATAGTAAAACCTCTTCATCAAAGAGTTGAAAAGATCCCATTGATAACTAATCCATTCTTCCAATGGTAAAATTTAATTTAAAATGTAGTAAAATGAGTAAAGATACCTTTTAAAGAATTAAACCTCAATTGTTTAATGAAAAAGTCTAATGGTCTTTATTCACTACCCTTCATTACAAATTTTTACTGAATAAAGATGAATGCGATTGCAATGACAATTCTTTAAGTAACATTACATCAACCCTCAGAATAAAATGTCATCCCCTAAATCCAAGTGACCCAGATCACGAAGTTCACAGGTGAACTGACTGGTTTTCTAGAATCAATAAGGAGCATTTCATTCAGAACAATTATTTTTACTACATTTTTCAGGGCAATGTACCATTGTAAATTTTACTGAATACGGTAAAGTGCTGAGTGATTACCTGAATCTTTTGAATTTTCACTTATTTTTTCTTAAGTCAAAAGAGCCCTTTCTGTGGCATTAACAAATCTTTGATAGGAAAAAAAAATAAAGAGAGAGGGAGAGGGAAGAAAGAGCTGGGGGTAGGGGAAGTGGCTGGGAGGGGAAAGAAGGAAAGGAGGCGCTTTCATTAAGGGGACAGAAATCACTGTGCAATCTTTTGTGTTTAATAGGGCGACAAATAATTGAGATCAAAGTAATTCATGCACGTTATCTTTAAAAGATATACATAAACTTGAAGAAAAAAAAAAGAACACTGTTATTGACCTTTGATACTATGGCAGTAAATTGCATACTAAAATACCTTAATTATCTGAGATGCCTAGATCTGGCTTGGCAAGCATCATGCCACTGACATGCTTTAGCCTTTTTGTAACTAAAAGTGATCTGCAGTTCAATCACTGAATAGCCCAATGTGACTCATTAAGCTGTGTGATAAACTCTGAGGTTAAATTGAAGCAAATTCTCTATACCTAGTCACACCATCAGCACAAGCAGGACAACGCTGGAGCAGTATGAGAGGCAGGTCACTTTTGAAAGGTCTTCCTTTACTGCACGATATACTAAGATGACAGACCTAAATTCCAACTGGGTTAATGAGTTGTAATAGATTTGTTTCCCAAATTTAGAATATTAAAAAACTTCCTGTAGATTGAAGAAAGAAACCTCAGATGTGAAGAAACAAAGCAAAACCAAACAAAACATAAAATGAAAGCTTGAGCTTAACTTGCTTACCGGCAACTCTAAAAACTGACATGCTCTAAGAGTGCTCTTGTGACATGAACTCCGTAACTTAAGAAAACAGTGTTTTGAGTTGAAGTTGACCAACTGCTGCATAGAGAATATGCCAACACACAACAGTCCAGTTTAAGCCGGTGCATAGAGAAGATAAAGCACTTATGGTAACTGCAAATGGTGAACAAGTCCATAAGGTTTATGACCTAGCATGGATCCAAAGGTTCGGGGAACATTGTAGCCGAAATGGTTAGGGAGGAAAAAAAAAGTGGAAATGGGCAAAACTTGAAGACGGAAGAAGGGAGCCGGGTAGGATGACTTTCAACTGTATAAAATTCACAAACTAGTAAAGTATAAAGACATCACTGAAAACAGTTAACTCTGTCCCTAACACCCAACAGCCAACAAAACCAGAATGGCCTTTGGCAGACAGTTTTAGAAATTTGAATATGACATCACATTTCTCAATAATTCACAAACAATATATTATACGGTATATTTATATTAAATACTGGGAAACCAACCCTGCAAATTTGATGCTTACAATGCTTTAGCCAATGAGAGCACAATGATATCAAGCTAAATGAATGCTGGTGTTATCACAACAGTGCTCATTTATGAAACAACTGTTACCAAGTCGTGCTTTAACAGTGTTGAAGTACAGTTCGAATTATCATCTATGAAGTGAAACAAAGGTCTCTAGCTTTTCTGGGATATTCCCTTTATAATATATTCTATGATTCACGATGACACGAGCAGCAAGACACTGCAATGTGATATGATTTATGGGCTGGATCAAATTTTTAGCTATCTCCTTCTCGTCCAGTAAGTCACTAGCAGTTTGTTTGTGTAAGTTTGTGGCATCAAAATGTGCACCTGATTTAATAAGGAGATTCATGATGTCTGGATGGTTGTTCAGAGCAGCAATATGTAGGGGACTGTTGTCATCAGAGTCCCTGACGTTCACATCAGCACCACATTCTATCAGTATCGCAGTAACTTGCAAGGGTACCGCCCTACACATGTAGTATTCTTGTCCACAGCCAGATGCAGAGGGCTGAAGTTATTCTTTCCTCTTGGATGCAGTTTAAGAAACCTGTAGATAGTCTGCTTTTTGAAATGGTCCTGTTCTAGAGTACACGGAACTTTTTCTAATAGGCAAATTAAGTGCAAAATGATGGAAAGAGCCTTATTCAACTGCAATGGGTCAGCTGGACACTGAGTTTGTTTGATAGCTCGCTCAATTTCAAGGACGCTTTTGCACAGTATGCCCATGAGGTCATCAAATGTAACAGTAGTACCCAGCAAGCCTTTAGCCCTGTCCTGTAGCATGAAGGAAAAGAGTTCTGCAAAAGACAGTAAGCTGCTGGCAGTCATTGGGCTTAAAGGGTCGAGATTACTCTGCTGCATATCCAAAGCATACTTCCATAGGTTGATGCATCGCTTAAAATTTCCAGAGTCGGCATATACAGCGCCCCTATATCTAATGTAGTAAGAGGTATCAGGATGAGAAGGCCCGAGAATACGCTCTCTAATTAACAGCGCTTGCATTCTCATCTCATCAGGATCAGCAATAAGGCCTTCTAATTCTTCTGCACTGTTTACCTCCTTGGCATAATCATAAGCCATTATTAGTGTCTGTGGAACTGGTTTACTAATTATATTAGTCCTATCACTGTACCTCATGTTCATTGCCTTTTTCCAGTATTTCAAAGCCCCAAGTAAATCTCTTTTTTTATCTACAAATGTAGCTCCCAGAAGCTCCAGAGCATTGATGCGTTCTGTCTTGCTGGTCTGGGCATGGTGTGTGAGAAAATCCACAATATTGGTGTGACCAGTCACACTTGCTGAAAGAAGAGGAGTCATTCCATAGCCATCTTTTTCCATCTTGGCACAATACATAAGCAGCATCTTCATGATGTCCAAGCTTCCAGATTCTGCACAATCATGCAATGCAGTGTTGCCTGAAAGAGAAAGAAAAGAACACACTTTGAAGGACCAAGCTATAATGTAACCCCCACAAAAAAGCACAGGCAACTCCAGCCAACCATAAGTAGAACATGCTATAATTACAAAGGAGAAAACAATTACCTTCAGCACCTAATATTAGTGTCTGATACACAGCAGGAGTAGAAGAAATACTTACAAAACTTCTTGAATAACTTGACTAAAATGAGTATGGAAAACAAAACAAAACCACCCACCCAAAGTCACTAGATAAAGCTTCCTTAATCAATGGCCCCTTGGCACTTTTCATTCATATTCAAATGAAAGTGATAGTCTCTGAACAAAAATGGATGAAATGAATTTAAGCCATTTGTAGCTTTGCTGACAGTCAATTTTCTGGGTCAGTTTCTTCATTTATAAATGGAGAATCTAGTCTTTAGGATCTAAGATTCTTCCACTTGATTTTAATAGTGAGCAATTTTTTTCAAAGCAACTGATTATCAAATGAGTTTTAACAGTTAAAGTCAAAATTTGTTACAAAGTA